CAAAGTCAAGGGAGCTGGGTGTCACATTCACTAGAGATAATCACAGCCTTTGCAAAAATACACAGAACTAAGGGAAACCAAGTTCTCCTTCTGTGTAGGTATATGTACATTTCTTCTGAAAAATGAATATTACCATCTGAAAATTATACAGAATATCACATTTCTTCTTTAGGAGTCTAAGCAAGGGAAATTCTCAAATTTTTTTTAGGCTTAGTTAGAAATTTTGCTATAATCTAAGGTTTGGCACTTGGCTCAAGTTTAGGAGTTTGTTCTACACTAATCTGTGAAATTCACATTATGCAGAAGGCTAGCACTAAACCTATACAGATCTTCATCCAACAAAGTAAACATTAATTCCCTGACCTATCTTAAATAATGAACCTGACCCAGAATGCATTTTAGTGGGAGCCTTCTCTGTCTAACCTGATAGGAAATCATATTTTGTAACATGTCCTTTCTCTCTCCTTGTTCATATTTCAAATAATAACAAAACCAAAAAATTTAAAACTACTTTGGTTCTTGAAAGTGATATCCAATCCTGAACACACACAATTTCTTCTCATCTTCTTCCTATCACGTCTCAGGCACAACGTGATAATGTTCTTGGCTCAAGATAGCAATAAGTACCCCCTTCCCACTCACAGGGGATACATGGTAAATGAACTGTCCCAGGATCAGATCTCACATTCAGTGGTGATGGAAGGAGTTGTAGCAGCAGGTTAAGCACCCCTCCTCACATCAGATTACTGAAATATACAAGTCTGTGTTAAAGAAAATAAAATGAAGGTTCTCTTTGCTCCGTAGTTGACTGGATATGGAAAAAAGTAACAATCTTACAAAGGGAGAAGGAAGTACTACATGCTGCTACAGATATCTGTGTGCAACAATGTGCTTTGGTCTCAGATAATGTGTATTTCAGTGAGAATCCTAACTGATGAATCAAAGAAAAGCAGTTATTTGAACATTTTATTTTAGGAAAATGTCAGAGGTTTATTATTTGACAGACTCTATTACAAAATCATGCTTTTAGATGAAAAGTTGTGTTGTTCATGTAATCAATGTATGAGTATACAAATACTTTATGAGCTTTTCTGGGTCGCCTTGATGATATTATTAAAAAGGGAATAGGGAAAGACAGTAGATCACATTGAATTACTAGGTAATGAGAGGAGAGACTTTCATACTGATAAAGGAAGGATTTGAGGAATCGAGTAAAACCATCAGTCAACAGGAAAATGCAGAACAATATTTGAGCTTGTTGCTAACACATTACTGAGGAATTCTCAGAGTTCAGTCCTACAAAATCAAACTAAGCAAAAGAAAAGTGCTTTGTATCTCAGTGCATGCACAGCAGCACAGCAGGGTCAAGGAAAGGAAACTTAACCTTAACTCTGATATATCTGATGAATCCTGGGAGTATGTTGTTATCAGAAACAGCCGGTAATCAACTGATAAGAACTAAATATAGGATGGAAGTATAATGCCAGGGAGACAGTGGATGGTACTGAATCCAATGAATAGTAAAGGCATATGCAGAAGCAAATATAGGATTAGAGTGATCTCTGCCACTGTGCTGTGATGTGCATATGAAGAAAAATACTAATATTTGTTTGAGACATCAGCTGGCTTCCACTGAAACAGCCATTTCACTCCTTTTTTTTTTTTTTGTTTAGGAATACTGTAACTTATAGATGAGATTTTAATTCAGTCCCAATGGTAATACCCTGTGTTTTTCAGTATGAAGAGGAAAACACATTCATATTCTGATGCCCTTGAAGTCATGATCAGTCAGAGTTGTCAGAGATGGTCTATGGACCATTACACAACTCTAAAATAATTGTTTTCCATTTGTGATTGATATTTAATGAATACAAGTTGCAACATTTTTGGAATCAACATGACCAGAGTATATACTTATTTTGGATATACTAAAGTACACCCAAAGTACAGAACTAAATAACATCTAGGTATCATATCTGATCTAGGTTAAAGCTTGGTTTTAAACAAATTCTTCTTTAATATGTAGGAGAGAGTTGAACTCAGTAGCAGATCTGTCCTACATTTAGTGCGCACACCTGACAGACAGTTAAGAATCCCTGTCTCTCTAGGAGAAACTGGTCTGAATACAAATCAGCCTCTGCCTGGCGACAGCTGACAAGCATGCTGGGGTCACATCACCTTGGCACTCTGAGATCATTAAGGGGCATTTAGTACGTTAGGTTTCACAAAAAAAATATTACTCCAAACCTACGTGATAGAAACTCAGCAGCCACAAAAGAAAATATCTACGACACTGAGCGTTCCACTATACTGTAGACAATACTCCTGATTAGACATCATACTGCAAAACTGCTGATGTAACCTCAATCTGGGTGTGTAACTGAAAAACGAACCATTTATAACATTCAAAAAAGCCCACTAATTATAAAGCTACTTCCAGGAAACGAGGATGTTAGAAGATATCCTACCTGGTCTTCTTGCAGACTGAGTAGACTGTCAGTGGGGGGAGATCAGACTAAAGCAGCCCCCTTGTTTAGGAGTGGGGTTTTTCAGTGTTCTTTGCTGCAACTGTACCAAGTATTACTATGAGCTAGGTTCAGAGAGGGCATCTGTTGCATCACGTTGAGGTGGACTGTATTTGGATGAGCTTTAGCAGTTCCATATTACATGTTTTTTTTCTTTTCTTTTGATCTAATTTATTCTTGCAATTTTAATGAGTCTTGTTTTGTTAGTAACCTTAAGGCTTTACTTTCATATCTGGGAAATTTCTCAGAATCCGTCTCACATAAAAGACAACCTCCATAATATTGAAGAAGAGATATCTGTAACTGACCCCTTTTAAGAAGCAATGACAGAAAGTCTACTTTAATTGTCCTTTTCTTCAGGACAAGCTGCATCCAAGGTTGGTGGTGTACAGAACATAGAGTAGCCAACCAATTAGTAGAGATAGGGCTTGACTCTGACATAGCATGAATTACCCCTGTCAGAAACATTGATTGAGAATTGTTCTAATATCCTAATGAGCTTGGTGTGCTGGTTGGTCAAAAATGTCCTTTCAAAGCAAGATAAATTCACTTCTGATGAATTTTTCCTTGAGAACAGGAATATATTAAAAAAAAAAAAAAGTTACTATTTTTTCAAAATTTTAAGACAAGTTTTTATGCTGAACGAACAAGACTCAGCAATATATCACACAAATATGTGTAGCAAAAGAACCAAATTGTTCCTGAACTTCATGTTTCAGACCCAGCACCAAATTTCCAGTAATACTTTTCAAGTTTGTCCTCAGATCTTCTTAATAAAAGCTTCAATAGAAATCTGCATTTTTTTTTCCTAGATATCACCATAGTTGAGCACACTGCCAAAAACAGATGAAAAAAAAAAAAAAGACAATTTTGAACAGAAGTCTTAAGTGAAAATACAAAGATGACTATATGTTCTCATGCCAAGTACTTGGGAAAAAATATGGGGTAAAACTACTACTCAAGTATCTTCATTAATGTGAACCCTTTTGGGGATGCTTGAAACTATCTGCTCAGCCTGACTTTCAAAGCCAAGGGGAAATCTCACATTCTTTTCCACTTAATGGCTTATTCTTCTGCTTGATATGTTACGTTATGTACTACGTGTTCTTAGACTTAGACTAACAGGACTTCCCATAGTCACATTAGCAAAGGTTTCCCCTTGTAAATAACTCCAGTCAAAAGCTCATAAGGCCCAACTGAATTTTGGTTCTTTCCTAGCTTTTCTGAGAGCATACACTCAGGATCAAGGCACAGTGAATTAAAAGCCATTTATTTGTTTGGAAATACAACAGTGGTGTGGAAATAGGCTTGGGGAATAGACGGTTATACATCCTAGTCCCTTTTGGCAAGTTTAAGCAGGCCTTTTTGTCCTGGACATCCCCATGTGTGTGACACCGTTGCATCTCTAAGAGTGGTCCTGCAGACAGTGTGTCTCCTGTGGGTTTTTTTTAACAGCAGGTTTTTCTGTTACTCCCAGGTCCCTGTTTGCCCTGGGACATTAGGACATGCTTGAGTTATGCATTTCCACAGATGGTATAGATGTCAGCTCCTGGCAATAGATAAATCATTCTTTGAGTCCTGAAATACGAAAATCTGCAGCTGGAATTAACCCTCTGTGTAACACAAAATCAGTCACCCCACCAGCAATACAAAAACCTACAATGCAAAATACTAAAAAAACCTGTCATTTATTATTTGTTACAAGTATACAGAGAGATAGAGACAGAAGAAAGGAGAAAAAAATATATATCATGCAAAATATTTCAGCAATTATAAGCTATAAGAAACAAATTACATGACAGAACCTAGATTTATTAAAAAATTTGTTTGTTTCAACAATAGCTATAATTTTTCTTTTTGTTTCCTCTTTCTTTCTCCTTCATTCTAGCCACATTCTTGGATAAATCACAGTCAGAATTGAAGATGAAGAACCCACTTTATTATTATTACCATCACTGTTTTAAAAGAAAATCTAATTGGGGCGATTTTTCATTAGGCAATTTAGCTTCTTTACAGAGTGCAAGTGAAAGATAAGAATTAGTAAATTCAACCTCGTCGGTGCTGACAGCTACAACTTCACTGAAAAAAGTATATCTAAAAAATAAAGGATCCTTTAAAAGGAGAAATAAGTTTGAGCATTAACGTCTTTACCACTCATCATAGTGAATACATGTACTAATTTTCCTTGTATAGTACGTCACCATTTGTCATTGTCAATCACATTAGATTCCTGTCCAAGCTCCAACATATGTCCAAAGTCAACCTCCTAATGCAAACCATAAAGAATATTTGTCTGCAAAGCATTTACTGAAAAGAATTGCTGTGTCTTCTTTACTCCGCCCCCCCGTCTCCCTGAAAGAGCAGAACATAGCTGGACTAAATGCAGGGGAATACAGTGGTCCTTAAGGAACAGTTAAACCATTTCTTTTCCTACATTCCCAGTTTAAATGAAAATAAAAATATTACCCCAGAGACACAGAGTAGAAGATCCTCAGCTGCGTCCCCAGAGCTCAGAAGGCAAGGCAAGGACATGAGGGACTTTTGGAAGCTCCCAGCCGCATTCCTGCGGCCTGAGGAAACCGTGCAGCTCTGGTACAACTGGCACAAACTGCAGCTGCCAAGGAGCTGTTGGCAGTTGTCCCCTGGGGGGTGAAGGGGCCATGCAGCCAGATTCAGCAGTGCAAGACAGCCAGCCGTTGTGCCACCATAAACCAATCCTGACTGGGACACAAATATTTTCTGTATCTCTGGGATTTGGCTTCCAGTATAAAGGTTTGTGCTTGAGATCATTTTGTCAGTCTTGGAAATAATTATATCTGTAGTTGTACATTTTAAAGTCATATACATTGACTTTAAAATAGTTGTATAAGATAAAGTTATATCATTTGGCTATGAAATCCCGTTTTATATCACTAGTGCCTTAAAGGTTTTCCTTTCTGATCACTTGTGGTTCTCCCCTTCTCCTAAGATACCTGGACAGTTCAAAATTTGCTCAGATTCATGTCTGGTGAAAGGTTTTGTGAAGCAAACATAACCTGCATATTTGGATTCTGCTTCATGCAGCAATGCTACCTTATGATGAACAAGAAAAAGCCATGTTTCTTGTTACTTAGGTAACAGACAATTGAGAGGGGAGGTTTTTTTGTTTTTGTTTTTGTTTTTTTCTTTTTTTTTTTGTCTGAGAGAGGGAAGGTAGCAAGGGTTTACTCAATCTCCATGGAAGACAGATATAACAATACCTCTATTCCCCACATTTCAGAGTAACAGCAAAAATATTATCTGTTCTACAAATGAGAAACAGAGCATGATGGTTGGGTAAAGCAGTCCTTTGGCTCATCTATAGTAATAAAAAAGGCCAGACAACACTGAAACTCCACAAAGGCAGGACTTGAAATACAACAAACCAGAATGTGAACTTTTCACACACCAAATTTGAGCTAATGTTCACGATCATGTTTATATCTCACATACTGCAAAGAAGTGCCTGACAAATTTGTGTGCTGCGCAGTGTTGGGGGAGGTTATACACAGAGGCAAAATACTGCAAGCAGTGAGAGGTGCATGCTACAAGCAGACTTGTGGTCCCAATCCCTCTCCTTTGCTACCTGACTTGACAGACTTTCTGTGAAAAAAACACCATCTTGCCTTCTTTACATCAATTGAATCCTTCTTAACCCACTCTCCCCATCAGGACATTTATTTTCTTAGTGAAAAAACAACTCTTCAATTGCTACAGAAGTGCCCTGGCAGTGACCAGCAAACACTACCGTCAGGTGAAATCCTAATTGTCTTTTTAAACCACTCAGAATAATATTATCAATTCTTCCACTCCATATCAACACAAGTGGGCTGAGAAATAAATTTGATCCAGCTCTTTTCCTCCTAAAATACTGCCATCAATGCATATTAGGAAGAGAATAAAGGCTCTTTTCCCTTGTCTGGCCATGCAAGGTATATAAACATTTTCATTGCAGTCAAAAAGAGTGGAGGATCAGGCACTTAAAGCTGCTGGTCCTGAAGTTAATTCATGTCTTGAATAGTTCAGGTGTTTTTTGAGCGGTTAATTTAAGCACACCTGTTACTCTTAAGTACAAGGCAGTTGGAGGATATTAATATTCTCTTGAATTATTTAAAAGGTATGACTAATGCTTCATGTACCATAAGACTGTTATCTGCAAAAATAACATCTGTGTCAGTCATTTCTGGGTGGTTAGGATTTCATCACTAACATTTGTCAGTATTTCTGAGTCCTGAGTTTCTGGATTCGGACAGGTTGCCAGCTCTCCTTCACCTTCAGGTATAAAACCCAGCCTACAGACTCCTTCACACTGTTCCTTTTGATCAGGGATGAATCAAACAAAAATATGGAGTCTCCTTCCTGAGAAGAATCTCTTATAAAAAGATCAAAAATATTTCAGAAAGATTTCTGATAAACTATTTATTTTTACCACCAAAGACTATGGCACAGATAAGTTAGTCTGGTGTGATATGTTTTCTTTCAAGAAAGTAGAAATTGATCCTACAATATTTTTATCTGAGTCTTGAAGAGCAGTAATATCTAATGCAACAATTCAGGGAACTGAATAGAATACCATCTAAAAAAAAGTTCTCACAGTTTATTCTAATAAATCTCTCCTGTGGCAGTGGTAATGTGGCCAGGTATGTATAAAACACAGTTTTCACTTGCACACCAGCAATGAACCATCACTAGGAAGAAAAATGAAAGGGCATTAAAAAGTATGAAAAGCCAATTTTAGTTCCTTTATTTATGGTCCAACGTACCTATCTCCCATGATATGTGTCTGATTCCAGATAAAGAAGGTTGTGGAAGTTATGTCTGATAGTTATCTGATTCTGTTTGAAAGAATTCATGAAGGCCACTGTTTCTGTATTCTACTGCTTCCAAATGAAACAGAACCAGCACAGCAAACCATGCATGCCTTTAAATGTGTAGCTGTCTCAGTGGTTCATCAGACACAAGTCATGCATTAAGCACAAGAACATTTAAAGGAAAGAAGTTTCTTTCCTGCTACAAGGATGGAAGAAGCTCTTTATCACCTGCTGCTCATGCATCACGGTAGAGATCCTGGCACCAAAGAACCTCTTCCTCACCCAGCTGGATCAATTAGAGCCCAATCAACAGAATCTCAAAGATCTGTTAAAGCAAGTGAGAACTGTGGGAAATTTCAAAAACAGAATGTGGGCTACGTACTTGTATTGCTTATATACCTTCCTTGCATATGAAATCAATCATTGTATACATAATTATTTAATTGAAGGCAAGTATATGCTATGACCATAGTGAAAGACAATAACTTTATTGAGTTATTCAAAGTTTTGCAGTGACTTCACCAATTGTCTCTCATTAATTGTACAACATAGCAGAGAATTTGAGTCAAGTTATGAAAGGAATGTGTGAGTGAATGAAGGAATGAATAAATAGTAGCCACACATTTTAAATGTCTAGTCCTTTATTATTTGTTATTGTCAATGTAAAAGGACATATCTTTGTTACATTTCTTTGTGAACCTTGCTGCCTTCTTTTATTTACTTCTAAAATAATCTTGTAGCAACACTACAGAATTGAAACTTTATTTCTATAACTGAGGGTATAAAAACATTTGGACTTCCCTGGACCACTATGGATGTCTACAAAATCCTGTAGTTCATTAATAGAGTGTTACCTAGCAGTCTCACACAGTGACAGCAGCTTAGCTCATCATAGCCACTTATAGGAAGAAAATGAACTTTCCTGTGGAAAATACATTCCCCCCACACACAGAACAAATACATTTCCAGAGAATTTCTAAGGATTCAATTTTCACAGTAATGTTACATTAATAATTTTCATTTAGGTCTTGGTTAGATATCGACGTGTTTCATGTAGCCAATGCATAGGCCTTGTGCTACTGTGGGGTTAGGAACTGTTGCATTGCTCCAAAACAGCCTAAACACCTAGTCAGAGCTTTTTGATTTGGCCTGCTGTTAAAATCCAGGATAAGAATATGCTTAAAAAGTCATGCTTGAAAGCGCAGGGTCTACTGCGACAGCAGAGCTGGGGGAGGCACGGTGAGGATCAAGAGCTGGGCATCTTACTCTCTAGATTTGTGCTAACCTTCACTAGGGGAAGTATTTAAAATAAATACACATTTGGAACAGTAAACAGATATGGGTATGTCAAATAATTTATGAATGAGAAGTTCTGATCCAAATGTGTTCCCATGCCCTGGTCTTGAGTATTGTTTTCTATCATATTTTCAGATTAGACAGCAATTTATGTCCACTACTCTAAAGAAGAGGTCAATTGCCTCTTTTGAATATGTTTCACTCATTGATATACTATTTACATTTCCATTAGAATAATTTCTATTGTACCATAAGTATCTAAAATGAAACATTAAGATGTGAAACCTAAATGCTTATTTTACAAACCTTTGAAGAATCTGGAACCCAGTGTAAGAGGTTTACACCTGTGATCACCTACTGTGTCTGTTGCTCAACACCAAAATAACATAGGGAGTATTCGTCTGTCACTATTAAAAAGAAATAAAACAGAACTATTAAAATGTAAGCTTATCATGAGAATTTTAAATACTTTGACACATTTTTATAAAAAAACACTTAAAAGCTATTTTTCAAGTGATTAACATTGATTAATTCACCACTAAAAAGACTATTTGCATAATTTTTAAGATATATAATTAACACAGTGATTTGTATGAACACTTTAGTCTTGAAAGCGTTTTTAAAGGTTCTCCTTTCAAATCAAGCCGCTACTTTTGCATTCACTTCCAGTAGGCCAAAATTAAATATATATGCCTTGCTCTTTATACTGTTCATACTTATGTTACGTGGAGAATAAGAAAGTGTATTTTGAGGCTGTTCAAAAGGAGCTGCTGGTGATGGAAATGCTGTGCCTGAGCCTTCTGACAGCTACACAATATAGAGTCATTAAGGTGAAGGAATTCCAGTGGCAATTGCAATTTTACTGGTTGTTACAGCAGATGACTGCTGCTCATACCTGATCATTGCTGAGAGAAAGCCCAGAATTTTATACCTGTTAAATTCAGAACAAAAGAACCAAACCTGGTTGTATGAGAAAGTATGTTCAGAAAGCATGAATGCCAAAATGCAAAACCAAAAAGACATGATATTCTAGTATATGCAAGATAAGGGTGGCACACTTAGTTTTCTCCTACCCTTTCTGGTTTGGAAAAAGACAAATAAAATGCAGAATTTTAAATTCCTGTGTTACCCACACACCCCTTTTAAGATAATCTTGCATTACAGCCCTTGCGATTCCAGTGGGACAAGGCAAATTTGTGACAGAAAAAACATACCTCCTTTGCTTATTGAATCTTTGGCTGCTAATACACTAATTTTGCAAAGAGAGAACATTCTCTAGAATACCCTAACAAAAAGGGGAGAAAGTCAACTTCATGAATTCACCACAGTATAGAAACAAACCATCTGGACATATCCACCGAGAAAATACCAAAAGAATGGCTGCAAAAGGATACTTGATAAGAGTGGACTGGTGTTTTTCTATTGCTGCCAGAAAA